CTTTTGGTTTAGATCTGATTTGGTTCTTGATTCAAGATTGATCATTGAAAATATGTTTTCTGAAATAGGGAATTCGATTCCCTGCAAAGATGGGAGAAATTTTTGAAATTCGCCCTATCCATTCCGCAAGATTTGGGCGTCCATGAGATGGATATCCTATCCCTTCAATGCAGGGGGAACCCAAGACCCGATTCTGCACACAGCAATATTAAAGAGCTCCTCCACAGATTTTGCCATCGGTCTGAAAATGCTGCTATTTCTTCCTGACCAAATTGTCCATAAAATAGTAGCTGGCACCATGGCCCAAATTATCTTGCCTTTAGAGGTCAAGCCTTGAATCTGCCATGCATATAACAGGTCCAACACAGACCCAGGCATTTACCAGATCAGGTTAGCTGGCCAACTTTGCCTAAACTCTGCCAATTTGTACCATGTTAAGATCCATATTAAAGCTGAAAACAGCACCAACTCTTGGGGTGTAGAAGCACTAATTAAAGGCTRATGAACTTTTGAAAGAAATAGGCTGATAGATAGGGGTAATCATGGACTAGGCTGTCCTAGGTTCCTGGCCTATGATGTCAAATATGAAATATTAAATGTATAATATAAAACATTTAATATATATATATATATAATATGAAAAAAATATATGTATAAAATTTTTAATAACTTTATGGAAATTTTTAACAAGTTGACAGTTAAAAAATCTGAATAGAAAAGGAAAAGTGGTGTAGGGAATGCTTCCTAATAGCAATTTTTTGGATGGTAAGGTTGGAAAGAAATGCCAGAATATTTGAAGATATTGGAAAGACAAAAGAGGAAATTGTTAAGGAATTGTGGGGCAGAATTCATTCTTGGGCGGCAGTGCACAGATGATTTTTAAATATACATTACAGTTCATTTTTGAATTCTGATACACCTTTTTTTTTATAATTTTTAAAGTTTACTTTTTGTATAGATGGAAGTGATGGTAGCACAGCTTCCTGCTGTGTGGATTTTGGGGTGTATATCTTCTTTGATATTTAATACAATACCTTACCTTGTTCTATATATGTATATATGTACAAATTTATGTTATAATTTATATAAGCACTATTAATTTAACAATGTATATGGCTTAAATAGAATGGAATGGCAAAACAGTATTCGTGATGATGACTTTATATAATATAATATGTTATGCATAATATTTAAATATATATAAAATAGGCCAGGCCAGACCCAGGCTATAAATGATCACCCTTACTGATTGACTATCCTTTTTCAGACTGTCTTTTGAATGCTCCATTGTTGCATCTGAAAATCTTTAGTGGTTATAAGGGCACTCAACTGGAGAAACAGTAGAACAAGACCAATGACTTAGCAGTTGGAAAAGGTGTCAAGGAAGGCGATGAATAGTACTTAAAAGGATTGTTGTCATCTAAATGGAATGAGTATATCTGACGCTTAAAGATGATTATTTTTCTGGTATCCCCTTGTTCTGTTAAGGAGACTTGCTCAACTCAACAAAGATTTATCCAACCATAGGTTTGACATAATGAATCTTATATAGGTTGCCAATTCCACTATATCCAGGGTAATATCACCTATTAAATTGTGAGCATATGTCAGCTTCTCAAGGAGACTAAACTCATTATATTGCAAGAAAAACAGTAAAGTCCTCATTTCCATAGTTCTGAACATAGAGGAGCAACAACTTCTCTGGCAATTTTAATTGGCTTTCATTAATGTTAAAACAAGATGACATTGAAGTATTATTCATTCTATATGAAAAAAGCTAGCAACACAGATGGAACCTGGAAATTTTAAGTCATTAGCAAAGGTAGTGGAGCACAACATCTTCAGTGAGGTCCTTAAACTTGTTAAGGAGGTCAATAATATTACTTTAGCAATTTAGTGATGCAGGTCCATAATAAGGAGGAGAGTATTTTATAACATGATTATCATCATAGAACTATGCAGGTTAATGACAAACTGTTCAGGTATTACCATTACTTCAGGTATGAAATCCATGAATTAGTGGTGAACAACCTCTTTTTATTTGAGTTCCTTACAAAAATGAAACCTAGAAAATATATAATGAGGATGACAAGTAATGGCTCGTCTTCTCCATAAATTTTTGGAAATGGTTTCTCCTGTTCACTTCCAGATAGAGAGTTGAGAGATGTTGTGAAGTTGCACTATATTACAGAATATTGGCATAACTTCATCCAATATGGTCATGTAGGCTTGTAGCCAAGGTTTTTAGGGGCCACTGCTTGATGCAATGGTAAAATTTCAGGCTGACAACATGGATTAAGTCTCGAGAGTGGATACTTTAAGGAAAAAATGCCAAAGGTTAGGTCTGTATCCAGTCCACCATCCCAAGACCCCAGATAGCTGGGAACAATATTGGGTAATTGTCTTTTTCATAGCCAAGGTTCCTCTCATACATTTCTGTCACGAACATTTTCTATTGATTTTAGCTGAGAAGCTAATAGATAAGAGTCGTATTTTTGGTACTGTTATGGAAATGGAGAATGGAGATGGTGAGAAAATGAACTTTGTGTTGATTCCCATTAAAAGATAAACCCAAAGGCAAAGGATATATCTACAAATCTGGGATATTGAATCCCAGATAATTGGACCAATTGATCTTGTTTATTTTGATTATGAATGTTAGAAAATCTAACTTTTTCCATTATATTGGAGCATTTCTTATGGCCATATTGATCCATGGTGAACATCCTTGCCTTACACAGAATATAGTAAATAAAAGGACCTACTTAAAACAAACACGCAGATATTATTTGCACGATTGAGTATGAAATGGTATAACAGAAATTAAGAAGTTTTAAATTCCAAGTTGGAAGTGGAAGTGTAAACAATAATAGTTGTCAATGTGGTACACCTACTCTAGTCAGTCCTTGGGTCTTTGAAGCAATTCTTCCCTATACAGTTGGAAAAGGTAAATGATCATTGCAGCTTAAGCATTCACTTGTTCATGAGATGTCAAATTCTCATTGGCACTGGACCAAAAAGAGGGACATGCCCTGCATTTAGTTCTTCCACATAACAGGAATAAAAGGAAAAAAGATTAAACATTTTTTATTGATCACCCAATATGGTAGTAGATCTGGTGCATATTTTTCTTTTTGTTTTCATTGGTTGTATAGCTTTCTACTTTGAAAGACAAATTACACATTCTATACTTCTAGAAGCTAAGATCCATAAGGTGCTCCTATTGTCCGCTACTGTTTATGTAGCAGATAAGAAACACATTCAAATTCCATGCTGTCTCTGGTGCAATTCCCTTCCTATATGTTGCCTACCAAGTCTCAAAATGAACATATGATTCCATTCCAAAAAACCAGTGCTCATGCTCTCCCCCCAACCCCTCAAAAAAAAAAAAGAAAAGAAAAGAAAAAAGAAAGAAAAAGAAAAAGAAAAGAAAAAAAAAAACTAAGACTAATCAGAAGGGGAATTAATTAAGTTTTAGCTGAAGGCATTCCTCTCTAGCTAGTTTGGTAGTATTTTGTACAGCAGGAACAAGCATGTTCTCTTGTCAACCTTTTTGGCTACGGTATTGCAGATGAAGGATATCTTATGTCTTAGATACATCAAAAATAAAAAAAATAAAAAAATAAAAAAATAAAAAAACGGGAAAATAAAAAGACTTGCACAGTGAAGTTAGTGGATGAAGGCATCTCCCTCAACCACCAGCAAAATGTCATGCCATTTTCCAAAAACGTTCTGTCTGTATGTTCTAATTAGTAACAAGAAGTACAGTCAGAACATACCTGAACTTGTAATTGAAGTGATTTCAAATATTCAATCGCCTCATCTAACATTGAAGCTTTGTCTGACTGAAATTTGGAATAATAAAAACGTCAGAAATGGAAGAGTAGAACTTTCAACTTACCAATATTTCTTCATTGTACATAAATACAACCTTGTTACATCGAGGTATGAGTTCTTGTAATGCCTTCATCTTCTCATTTATCCTATCTCGACGTCTCTGCATTAAAATAAAGATGTTAGTCGGGGGTGGGAGGGTGGTAGAGGAAAACAAACCCAATGTCATTAAGGTAGATCATAATAGACTAGGAAAAGAAACGCACTCTCTCCGAGAGATTGTGGACCTCTGCAGCACGACTTCTTCTTGCAGATGTTGATCCACGGACTTGTTTCTTTGTCTCCACGGATTCAAATTCAGCATCCTTTTGCAACAAAAATAAACTGCTAATGTAATCCAAGAAAACCGGAAGGGAATTTTGAAGAGAAACTTGTTATGGTGCAGCATCTTTAACACCCATAAAAGAAGATCCGACCCCCCAATACAGAGATCAGCATACATTTCGATGAATAACTCCATAAATAACTACTACAACTATTGTCTCTTCGGCGACATCCAATAAAACTGGAACCAGTAAACTGCTACCACTACTATGAGGTACCAGTTTTTCTTCATTCTCTTATGATAAAAGATCATTTTCATTTTTCCCCGTTAACTAAGAACATGCCATCCCATGTCATCCCAGGAAAACGGAGGTGGTTATAAAATTAACAGTCATCGGGCAACGGGGGTTCATGATTTATCTACCAATAGGGAAGAAAAGTTGGCTTGTAAAAACCTCGTCGTGGTAAGAATCCTTATGTATGGTCGGTCCGTCACTAGCTCACCACTCGCCAGTTTCATAATGACTTACAGAATCAATATCACGGTAGTCACTGAGCCAGCCCATCCCTTTTATACTCCTGGGGTGAGAACAGGCTATGTTAGGTTTGAAGGAAAATATAGGGAAAGGAAGGGAAAGGTAGGGAAATCTTTACAACCCTTGTATTAGTTTCCCTGTCTTTCCCTTTCATTCCTTACCTTTTCCTTCAAACCAAACATAAGCCTAAGGGTGTAGCTTGGGCGGGCTGGTCAGGTTTAAGATCGACCCAGGTCCAACTCAAAATTTAACTCTTGAGAATAAAAATCAAGCCCGAGGTTAAGACCAACTTGCCCAGCCCTGGCCCAGCTCACTCTAACTAAAATCTGACAGGCACAGGCCGGGTTGGGGTTGGTCAAGCAGGCCTCTTGTGCCTAGGGAATTAATTGTATGTATGATGTATGGATGGATGGATGGATCGGCTGGATTCCGATTGGGTCAAGGTCAGCTTGTGATTGGGCCAGCTCGAGTTACCAATAAGCCCAATCTTCCCAACACAGGTCCCATGATCCCATCCCTAACTAAAATTTAACAGACTTAGGCTGGGTTCAGATTGATCAAGAAGCCCTACTAGGCCCAAGGCATTGAATGTGTGTATGTATACATGAATGGATTTATAGATGGGCTGGATCCAGATTAAGTCAATGCTAATTTAGGATTGGGCCCATCTTGAAAAAAGAATAAATAAAAATAATCGAGGTTTTGGGCCCAAACTCTAAGTCAAAAGGACTGAAAATCCAAGTCCATCGATGTAAAATCTTGGGTTGAGTTTATTCGAGTTTGGGTTAGATCCGCCCAAGTTGCATCCATATTGGTATGCTTTCTACTTTCTAGTCCTATCTACTAATAAGTAATAAGGATCTTAAAATTTTGAAGATATCTTTTTTAAGAAAAAAATTGAGATCCCTAGTCCCTACACCTCGGAAATTGAATCTTCTACAATGGGAGAATTACAAATAAAGGCCAAAGCCAAGGAATAAAAACAGTTAAGGGTTCATGAATACGACTTTTCATATCTCAAATAGATACTTCCATTTTCTTCCATTATGAGTTTATGACTCTCCACATATATTGGTAGCCAAAAAAAACTCTAAAAATGTGCATATGCTTATTGGATCATTCATATACTGGAGAAGGATTCCTAATTGAGTAATTGGCTACACCAATGCTGTTTTCCTCAAGACTGGTGGAAGGATGATTGGAATAGTCTGAATCCCATGATGGGGGAACTGGTTGGATTGGCTAGTTGTTCAATCCTCAGGTCCATGTCAGCCCAAAATCCTACCTTAAGGGCACCTTGGTTTATTAACAGGAATGCCTGGAAGTGGGGCCCAGTTTTTTATTTTTATTTTTTTTTATGGGTACAAACTAGCTACAACAACTACTCGGAGCTGCTATTTTGATTAAGTAATGAAAAAAGGTTCGACCTGGTGCTGATCCAGCAAACTTCATATCCACTACCTAATTAGGAAATAGGTTTGGATGTGGATAAACAATAGATATAATATTAAATAGAACAGAATAGCAAGACGGAATTTATGTACCCGACTCCGTATAATTGGAATAAAGCTTGGATCATGGATTAAGTCAGGATCAAAATCGACGAACTCAGGGTATGGAGCATTGGAGTAGGGGCCGCGGGCCGGATCGGATTCCCCCATCATAAGGGCATTTTCGTCCCATTAATACAAGTAAAAATACTATAATGTCCAGAGTCCACAGTGGTCTGACAGAGAACAGTGCGCACAAGCACTCATTCCGAGGCACATAAAAGGACAATTTTCTGACGGACCAAAATACCACACCAAGACACTAGCGCACATGGAGACAGGGTTTAGGGAACCAAACCCAGGGTACACGTGTCCATAGAATGCTGGATTCATGCACTACGGATAGCAGAGCCTGCCTCTCTCCACTTAACCTTTCCAAGCTTCCAATCGCCACCGTACACGTGGTAAAAACAAACATCCCTATGAGGGCTATGACGTTCTCTGTGATTTGACGCTAACAACGAAAACGGTCAGATCATGACGAACAGCTACGAGAGCCAAAACTCGGTCAGTGCTGCCGGTAATAGGGACTAATAAGATCCATATGAGAAAATCAGGATTGTCAGATGTTGGCTTAGTAGTGGGGCCTAGAACCAATGACAGTCTGTATGGGACGTGGTCCAGAGAGAGCTCATGCCAGAGCGGCTCTGAAGAAATCGGATTCACAAAAAAGAATAATAACAACTGTTGGACCCATCAAGCGCTCCAATTATTCCAATCTAGTGGCACGCAGAAGCCCTACAAAGCCGTCTGATACTAGTTCGACGAGCGAGTGCTACTATACTCCCACAGTCCCACTCGCAGTTTACAACATTCCTCGCGAGCGGAATTGGATTTAGAGTTGAAACTGGATTCCGCCACGATTCCTTGCAAACTAAAATGACTAGCCCTCCATGGGAATTCGAATTTCGTCATAAAACAAAGTTTGTCGGCCGCGTTTATCCTCCAAATTCGGTAATCGGTATCAAAAAGAGGCGCCAAGCTACCAAATTGGTTGGATATGGATATAGGTTGGATTGACAAATCCAATTTTGCCTCCAGTTTCAAAACCATCCCGACAAAACCAAAACGATTTGGGTGGATTTGGAATTGGAGGCGAAATTGAATTTTTGAATTCCACCAATCTAAGGATTTTGCCAGCGCTCTTTCAGCGCCGCAGAATCCAAAAGAAGAAACGCAGAATCCGTAAAGGCTAGGCGAATTGAAGCAGAAATGAATTTCAAATCCATCCCGCTAGGCCGCTACCAAAACCCAAAACGTAGAAAAGTGAATACCAACCTCGCTTTGGCACTCATTATCATCTTGTTCTCTCGACTTCCGCTTTCGATCATCCGTCGGCGGCTTTGTTGACGGCTCGGCGCTGGCGCCGGAAGCGCCCGACGATGACGTCATAGTCTGGTCACAGCTTACCAACTCCCTAGCCCCGTCAGCCGCTGCTGTACCATCACCGCTCATACTCCCGCTCCGCAGATTCCCGCTATAAAACTGTGCGGTGGTTCTTGACGTTTGCGCAACCGCCGATCTGGGCCCCACTGCCGGTGTAACGCTCGAATCGACAACCGTCGATTCTCTCACCGGCTTATTCGAACTTGACGGCTGAGATTCGTTTTTCTCTCTTGGTACTGAGAAATGCATTAATTGCTGAAATTTGGCTGCCGAATCTAACTCAGCGTGCGTTGTAGGTGGAATTGGTGGCCGTTGAACTGCTGTTGGTCTATTTTCCGGTCGTCGTTCTTCAGGAATCTGACTACCACCGGACGCAGCAGAATATAGGAGATCAGCACAGAAATTTTGCTCGAACGTATCCTCTAGGGGATAATGTAACCAAGCAGCCATCTCGTCTTCTTGCATGAACAGCTGATTCGTGGCCTCTTCCTCTGCTGCCGCTGCAGCAGTAGTAGCTCGAATTTCCCCTGCCGGTGATCCTCCGGCTGGGATAACGGCATCTTCGAAAGGAAATTTCGGCGGAGATTTTCTTGAAGATCTCTGGCTCTGCATAACCACTTGGCCGTTCTGCCACAGAAGTTCTACAACCTCTTCTTCACGACTGTCTCTTATGAAAAACTAAAATTTAGGAAAAACACAAACCAAAATTCTGTATTTTATCTCCAAGAAAAGCTCAAGTACTTACAGAGTGGACTTCTTCTGTCGATATAATCCAGATGGAGCCGGGATAGCATCATCCTCAATTTCAAAATCCGGAACACAGTGATTCATCTTCTCCAACAAATTCTTGAAATAACTAAACGATAGATATTGTCACAATTAAAAGAACATAAAAAATTAAAGAAAAAGGCAGAAGAACAAATGAATCAGTAAATGAAAAAGGCAACAACTACCTACTGCAAATGTTTTCGGATGATCAAAACTGGAAATTCACCACTTTCAAAAACGAAGGCGACGATTTGGTAAGAAAATTGGGAAAATAGAAGTGTGAACGAAGAACCGACATGCGAAGCTACGATCAACATAGAACAACAATATACATAGCCGCACCGATCTTTTCCATTTCTCTTCTGTAAAACCCTAACGAGCTCGTTTTGATAGAAGAAGGAAAAGCAGACGAAAGACAGCAGATAAATATTAAGTCTGAATAGCGTCAATTTGATTGATTATTTAGCAGCTACAGCTATGCATTAAATGAAGAAAGAAACAAATGAGTAACGACTGAGGAGAGAGATACTATTTAACGATCTCCCTATTTCCCTCCTCCGTTTGCGTCTTCGTGCTCTCTCTCTCCGTCTAAAAAATGGATGCGAGAAAAAAGACAAAATAAAACCAAACAAAAAATATTTTAATAATAATTACTTGTCCCAAATTAGCAAAAGTTAGATTTCTGTATCCAACATGCGTGCGAGCATTGGTACGTTCTCTACACCAACCAATCAGACCATCCAAATTCTGAATCTTCGATCCACTGTCGTTAACCCTCGGGCCCCACCACTTTTCCTCCATTGCACTTGGCTCTGGAAGTTGATCTTTGTGGGTCCCCCAATACGCACGGTGGGACCACGCCAAGGACGTACGGCAAAGTAGATCAATTAATATATTTTTGGTTATTATTAATTTCTTAATAATGATTAAAAATTTAAGTGGCGGTGCTTTGCTGCTGAGCCTGAGAGTTGGATTAGGCTTCATTGAAAAATGACCATTAACGGACAGCCGTTATTTCTCAACCGTACGTTGCTTACGGTTAACTCCACCTTCTACTTATAGGTAAAAATTCAGTATTCCGATGATCCATCAAGTATCCTCATCGTCCATCTGATGTGGTGGGCCCAACAAAAACGGATTCTTCATCAACGGTCAAGATTGGATGCGCATCCAATTGCAAGGTATCAAAGGGGTCTCACTTCTCAGTTCTCTAGGAAGCAAAGTTCGCTTGTAAGTTGTAACTAGCGGCGTGAGACTGAACCGTCACCGAGGGGGCGCATCGTAGCGCGGATCGAACTCGAAAGTGTGCATTGTTGGCCCGTTAACCGACAGTCAAGTTCCCGGGAGTGGGACCCGGTCTCAATTATGTTGTTTCCTAACCACAATTATTATTATTTTAATAATATTTTAATATGAAGCTCTACTTTTTTTAACTGTAAAAAAGAAAACGAAAAAATGGTGGGCCACATAAAATCAAAAGGGAAATAAATACGTCGTATCGTTTTCCTTCTTTCACTTCTGGGAATCTGAAACTAGCAACCCGTAAGACCCAGATCTGTGAACTGGAATACTAGATTTCCTGGTTTTGACAAAAATAACCTCAACGGCCATCATTAGCTTTGTCCTTTTCAGGCCTCTAATGTAGAAGTGGCGTACGTAGTGTTGACCTCAAAAGTCAATGTAAGTGACGGATCGTAGGGGCGTGATCTCACGATCCACCCACGTCGGCAGGATTAGAGAATGGCTCAGAATACAGGACTAAAACGTAATTGTGCTGTTTGTGTGAGGCTAATTTGGTCATCTCAAGATGCTTGTGCATCTCTCTTTATCCTCCATGGATAATTTATGATTAATAGAATTAAAGGAAAAGGTTTTTTGTGACACGTGGCGAGAGGATAAAGGATATCTTATGATTAGGGCATCCGAGAGCATCTACTACGTGTCATTATTTTATTATTGTATTTTTTTAAGCTAATAAGCTAGAAAGCAGTTGAAGGTGAAAAGACATAAATAAAAAAGAAAAGAGGCAGGATTACTGAAAGATTGAAGCGGAACATGTGGTGTCTGAGATCTGGGCCGGGTCTGGGGTAGAGTCTGACCCGGTGTGATAATAAAACACACAGACCCGGACCCCACGCAAACCCTATAGTCTGGAAGCATTATAGTCAGAAGTCAGAATGGTCTTGCCAATCCACTCGTAGTCTACTGGTCCAGTTTGGTTTTAATGCAATCAAACCGCGGATACGCAAGTTCTCCATCTTTGTAGGCCCTGTGTGTAATCTGTCACTTACTCCACTGACCCTTTAATTAGGGTGCTGTTTGGCGTATCCTTTTGTACGATAAAAAATTGATCTATTTCCATTTTTTTACCATATGGAAGATTTAGCCGCCACACGTGAAGCTTATTTTGGGTTAATTTTGAAAAACTTCATTGAAGTTTTTCATGTCTTTCACGTTTTAATCTCGGATGGAAACCCAAAATAATGCACAGAAAGACATGTATATACCAAACGGTCTTCGGACTGTCCAGATCTTATGTCAAAAGCTCAATACGACTATTAATTGTTAGAGCTACGAGAAGATCTTCTCAGAAAGACTTGCCAAATGGGCCCCTAGGTCAAGCGCACAATACCTCACCCGGGTTGTCATTTGTCAATGTACCGGCCCAACCCGATAGACCCCATTAGACCAACTAATTATAACCGGTTTGAGATTGGTTTATATGGTCCACTCGATTAATGCCCAAGTTAAATTATGTAATGTGTAATGCATATATACAATAAATATAAGTCTCCATATAAGAAGGCTTCATCTTCAAATACGTGGCTATTTCCCAGTCACAGAAAAAAGGGATGAATAAATTTTTTATTTAGATTAAAAATTTGCTTTATATATTTTAATAATAAACTAACTTCATTAATTTCTTAACTCAAATAAAAAATCCAATAGAAACACGGGTCACATTCTTTCAAGTTAGGTGGGTTGCTGATTACATATTAAATCTAAATCTCTTACTAGAAGACCATTAACTAGTATAATGGATGACAAAGATACCCCAAGCTTTTTGTACATATATTTCATATTTTATTTGCAATAACTTTATATAAAATATCTAAAATCATCATTTTATAGAAAACACAAAATAAAATATTTTGAGAAGAGAAAAAAATAATTAGTAGATTTTTTTGAGATACCAATCTAAAGGTGTTTTACGTATAATTGACATTTATCAAGCCATTTAATAATAGGGAAGATACCAATTAGCTTAGGTGGCATTTGATAACACTTTTGACCTCTTAAGTTTGAAAATATTATTTTTCAAACACTAGATGTGTTTGGAAGTGTATCTGAATTTGAATTTGAAATGAATCTTCAATCTAAAATAATAAGACCTAGGATAGGCATTGGACGTGTTCAAATGCGTTTTAGTTTTAGCCAAGAAATCCAAAATACCCTTTAATTAAAGACATGCTTGTGTTTCTCCCTCCCACAATTCATCTTCTCCACTTGACACAGCAGCAAATCAGCGGCGGCAGTGATTTCTTTGACATTCTCTCTCTCTCTCTCTCTCTCTTTCTCTCTCTTCTTCTTCTTCTTCTTCTTCTTCTTTTGTGGTCTCGCGGCTTCCATCCTTTGTTTTTCATTTTCAACCGCTGCTGCAATTCTCGATAGTGGCAACCTCTCTCTCTCTCTCTCTTTCTCTCTCTGACCTTCCCAAGAGCTTCAGCGTCAACTTGTTCAAATCGAGAGAGGATGATGATCTCAAAGAGCTGATTCGAGTTGCTTCCAAGAGGAGCTTGGAGAATCATATTGAAATGGAACTCAGACAACAATTGGAACAGTAGCAATTTTGATTTTCTTTTTTTTCCCTGAAAGTCGATTACTGATTAGTGGAATAGAGTTTATGTCCATTATTTTTAATTGAAAAAAAGAAAAAACTGAATTGAATCTGTAATAGTCATGGCCACTGCGCACTGGAAAGATCGATCAAAGGGAATTTCAGTTGATGGGAATTTTTGAATGGAAAGATTTATGGAAAAATTGCCAAGGTCGATTACATATTTTATTTATTATTTTTTTATTAGATTTTATTCAAAATTTTCAATATTGTTTTGATTTTAATAAATTATTTTTAATTTTTTATCATTTCCTATTCTAAGGATAAAATAGTGAATTCATGAAATTTCAGATATTGAAGGTTTGGTCCAATACAAACAGACGTATCTATTTAGAGCCTCTAAAAAGTAGAAAATCACTTATGTTTTTTTTTCAGATTTTAGATAAAAATAATATCTTTTTAACTTTTTCAAATTTCAGATTTGTCAAACGCCACCTTAATTGATAAGATATTTGTTTGGTTGTAGTGAAAATTTAGGATCAAAGACTAGGAGTGATATAGCTCGGGCTAAGTTAGACCAGGGTCCAACCCTACAAATTTTATATTATATGTATTTAATATATGCACAAAATTTATTTTATAAATTATATAATATAAAATATTATATTTATATATAAATATAAAATATAACATATATAAATATGAACGCCAAATCTAAAGTATTGGGCATAGGTCCAGCCTGGAAATTTGCAGGCCTTTATGTGGGCTCAAGTGATCACCCCTATTGACACCTGCCTTCATCCAGGTTGGAGGTTGTGGTTTCCCCTGTTGTGCCTCATCCATAATAATAATAATAATAATAATAATAATAATAATAATAATAATAATAATAATAATAATAATAATAATGTAGCTGGCTCAAAACGAGTTGAACACGAAAACCGCTTTTACATGGGTTTGACCCAATTAACAGAGGAAACTAGGAAGCTGACCCGACCCATGGGTCAGGCTAGTGCGGATTTACTACTTAACCCGAAACATTGACATTTCTTCCTTCCTCCCAGAGTCCCAGACTAGTGGTCTAATCACGTGCAAAAACTGTAGGAGAGAGAGAAAGAGATCCACTTAAATGGTGTAAGCGGTATTGCTTGTCGCCCTCCGGCCTCAACTTCCCTGGTCCTACCCTTCCTTGGTTGCACCGTCAACAATACCACTTGCCGCAACCTGGCGTCGCATTCCACTATTTAAAGCCTTCCTGTTCCTGCCGCAATCTCTCTCATTACTCATTCATTAGGGTCCAGAGCTGCAGGCTGCCTCGTCTTGACATGAAGAGAACCAAAAATTCTTTTTTCTTCACCGCGTGGAGGATTTGGGCGCTGCTTTAAGACGTATGTTATGCCATTTAACCAGTGAGGGAGGAGATTTTATTGAAGAATCAACGGGTCTCGTCTATAGCTGTATAGCACAGTGGCATAACTTGCCACGTGTAATTTAATTAGTAATCTGGGGCCCATACGGGCCTTAGCTTACTTTAATGTTCATATCAAATATCGGCGCGATCACATGGTTGATATTAATTCTTGTGATTTGGGAGCTCCCAAAGTCCCAAGCTCGTGTGTGAGAGAGAGAGAGAGTAGCATCCGGCATCCGCCACATCTTGTTAGTGGTCCGGAACCTGATTCTTTTGAATAAAGGTTAAACGGCAAGTTATGTGGACATAAGGCCGATTCATCTTGTGGCC